CTCAGGTTGTGCATGGTCGCGTCTCACCATCAATACCCCGCGCGTACCGCTCACCCCGACGAGGGCCTATCCTTCCTCCCGTACGCTCACCGTCGGGCGGACGAGGCTGCACTGGTGCGACTTGCAGAAAACACGCCTAATACCCTTGTAAGGGTGTTTGGTACGACACCGTTACAGAGGGAAAAACTTCGGTAAAAAGAAGGTCGGCCAGTGACCGATTAGATTAGTCTTTCACCGCCTATACCCGAATCCGACGAACGAACTGCGCTCTGGTACCTTTGTGAGTCTCCACCGTGTTTCCCCCATCCCGCCTCCTCCAAGCCAGCCCCCCCCACCCTTTCGGCCTTTCAGCGGACAAGTTGGGCTCAAGCCTCCCATAGCAGGTCGCAAAGTCAAGGGCGCGGGTCTGCTGTACGTCTAAGCGTGGGCTTAGGCGGACCGAGCCCAGTGCCGACCTCTGTAGCAACCTTTTCAAACGAGAAGTTTGAAGACCGAAGCGGGGAAGGGTCCCGCGTGAACAGCCAGCCACTTGCGGCCTCTGCCTGCTGCCCCTTGTGCCTAGGCAGTTCACCATCCTACGGGTGCGCCGACCGGACTAACGCCCGTCGGTCCCGACACCAGCCTTAGTGCCCAAGCAAGTACCAATCCTGTAAGAAGGTGGGACCAAAAAGATTAAAAGGACCGAGAAACAAATAAAAACAAAGATAAAAACAACTAAACAAATAATAAGACGGGAGGAGAGAGGAACCTCCTTCCTACCAGCGGTCGTAACCAAATAAAACAAAAAAAAATTGATGGGGATAGTCACGCCGAACCCTCAACCCCGCGGTCCCTTCACGCTGCTCCCATTCTCCCGCATCGCACTCGCTGGTTTCAATCCCTGAACCTCCTGGATGAAAGTCTGACACTGTAACCATTGGTGCTAGGCCCATGGCTAAGCCTAGTGCTAGAGGTGATGTATATAAGCGGGTACCACGCGGTGCGTGGGCTTACAAAAGCATATCGAAGCCATACCTCGGCTTGCCCACTAAGTCCACATCCGCCAAACTCCACGCCTTCCGCACGCCTATCTTCTCGCATACTCTGACCATTACTCAAAGCCGCATTGCCGCCGACGCCGCCGTCCTTCACACGAGCGCACAAGTCGCGGTCAATCGTACCAATCAAAACAAGATATCTTTTAATCCTAGTTTAAATCAAAAGCAGAGATTTGGCCGGCAACCACGTCGGCTTTACAATCATCACTAAGAAGAGAGATCATGCACGCCTTAAGTCTGCACGCCCACACAGTCTCTATTTATAGTCAACTACTTAGTCAGCGTGATTGAAACAGAGCCGCCACTCGTGCGGTATACTCAAACTTTGAACCAACTTATTTTCTGTCACTTGCAAAAACCAGGTCGGATACCCTTGTAAGGGTATTCGCACCGACAGCGTAACCCCTACTTGTCCGTCAATGTGCATGTGTAGTATGCCTGTGTGCATGTGTAGGTGTGCGTCTTTTTCTCCCTTTGCTTAAGAAGCACCTGTGAGCCTCTTTTTCCCCGCTGCAGATTTTGAACCGCGCGCCAAAGACAAACGAACCGCCAGAAGGCCCACGTCTTTTCTTTTTCGGATGGTTCGCCCATTTATTTTGGTCAAGTATGATGCTGTTCATCCAAGGAACTCGGCTTGAGGCAATTTCAATTCTCGAGGTTTCGTCGGCCGGCAGAGGTACTGGCGGTTCAACACAACTGCACAAAGAAAGGTCACTGAGGCAGACGTTTACGTCGGACTTTCAGCAAAACTCATCAGGTGTGTGTATTTTCCAGACTGACACCAGAACAACGTATTTTCCACCCAGGTCGATTAGATCCAAACCCTGTATAGTACCACGAGCCCGGTTGGAAAAAAATAATAATAAAAAAAAAAAATTCCAAAGTTTGAAATAGCCTTACCGCATAATCTTATGTCAAGATGGGCAACACTAACTTGCTTAAGGCAAGGCACATCACATAACTGGGAAAGTGCATGGCGCCTAATGCTCGTTATCGCAACAGGTTGATGGCAGTGGAGGGTTGACGGCCATAGCTACGGAGACAGCAGTTCTCTGTAGGACGCGGTGTCTGCCACTGTCATTGGAGCACAGCCTCCGTGACGAAGGCTTGTTTGTCATGAAGGTGTGCACAGTGCTCTCGTAGCAGAAGGCATAGTGTCTGGCACACTTGTGTTCTCTAGCTCCGTGACGAAGGCTCGTTTGTCATGAAGTTGTGCACAGTGCTCTCGTAGCAGAAGGCGTAGTGTCTGGCACACGTGTTCTGTATCACTATCAGTAAGTCGGTGCCGTGGCAGACCGTCGGACACTACTTGGACTCAATACACAGGATTAACATGTTCGGAAGGACGTCAACGGGACCTGCACTGAGAAGGTGGGAATGGGCAGCATCTAGGAGGATAGAGGGGATAAAACAAGCAGCAGGATTTAGCTTCATCCACATCGGAACTCAGGGATGGCCTACCGAGCGAGAACGGTGACTTCTGCTGACGTCCAGCAAATTTTACATCCTCGCAGGGGAGTTGAATTTGAGAGATCATCATTCAACTAACCGGCTCCAGGTGAATTCATTGTTATTTTACTCGTCTGATTCCGTCGGGATTTGAACCTAGGTCCGTTTATCAACAGCTCATGGGTTTATCGTTTAGCCACATGGGCTGAGTATCCCTGCACTTGACCTTATTCCAACAGGAATTGGCCGGAGCTACTGTCTGGCCCATCAGCATTCCATGTTATTGTCTGACCCATCAAAGAGGATCAAACACACCCCTTGTTTCACCCAACGACCAAATGGTGAATAAAACCGAGGCCGGCAAGGGCCACAAACCCCATAGACATGCATCACTACCACATAAAGCACCCTAGCCTCCTCACTCACAACCATTTGCTCCACAAGCTCCAGACCATGGGAATGAAAGTTTCACCTACAGTACACACTCTTTAAGACCCTCCACAGATGCAGCACGATAACAGAGAGCAACATGGTCCTGTGGCACAGAGCTGGGACTTGGGACCCTAAAGGATCATGGCCACCTTGAGAGAGAGAGAGAGAGAGAGAGAGAGAGAGAGAGAGAGAGAGAGAGAGAGAGAGAGAGAGAGAGAGAGAGAGAGAGAGAGAGAGAGAGA